GACATTGTCTGCAGGCTCCTCTGTTGGTCTCCCAAAGGAAGGTCTGAAACGCTAAAAATCTCTCCATAGTAAAATATCTGTGCAAATAAGCAAGTGTTTTTTTCCCTCTCCAGGTGCCTGCTGGTGTTTCATGCTGTTAATCTCCTTTGGAAATGCAAGAACATGTTTAGATATAGATTACAAAAGCGTGAGGCTCAGAGGTGTTTACACACTCAGAGAGGGGGCATTGATTCAAGGTCTCTCTGGATGTAAAGTGAGTCACACAAAGAGATGGTTTTCTTTCCACCCTCTGAACTCCAGCCTGAAGCTTTAGAAATTGTTTCCCCCATCTTTCTTGCAGCTACTGTTTGGTGTGCTGGCTGTAATCATATACAGGTGACAGGTTACCTAGACAACATCTATTACAACCAAATACCATTAGAGCAAAAGAGGCTCGAACTCCTGCTTTTGTGTATTACAGGTAGGTGGATCTGGCACTGGTTTAGCATCTGTTGTGCTCTTGTTGGCTTCCCCAAGTGTTCCAATAGTACTTGTGTCTTAGTGGGCTTTTGTGGTTTCAAGTAATCTCCAGTCTCCTGTTCCCATAATCCTCTGTCCCAGGGATTTTTAGATCAGAATCTGAACATCAGGGACATTTCTAGGTTTTTCTTCCTCTTCTTGAACCCTCAGCTCCAGTAGACAGAGGGATGGAGAACAGATCCACACATGCACCGAGGTGTATGGTGTAAGAGGGAGACAGGATACTGTATGTAGGGACACTGAGGGGCAGGCCTCGAGCCACAGGTGACCAATTACCTGTGTTTCCTCTCAGAAAAGCAAGTGTAGAAGATATCCTAAAGAACACATGAGATTTTTCTTTTCTTGTTGCTGGTACTAAGGCTTGAACTCAGAGTCTGTGAGGCTTTATTGCTGGTTTTGTACCACTTGAGCCACAGGTCCACTTTTTTTTTTGCTGTTTAATTAGAGATAAGAGTCTCCTGGACTTTCCTGCTTGTGCTGGCTTTGTGCTGTGGTCCTTATATCTCAGCCTCCTGAGTATCTAGGGTTACAGGTGTGAGGCACTGATATCTGGCTGTAAATAAGATTTAAAAGTGAGCCCATTCAAGAATGTTGGGAGGAGGCACAGTAAACTTTTAGGAAGTGAAGGAAGGGGTGGTATCATCTAAAAAAAAACAAAAGAAATATACTCATTACCCAACTTAGGGAAATGGTCCCCACTGTATAACACCCTAACAATAATAATAAAATTGTACTTATTTTTTGTCAGTTGTGGGGCCTGAACTCTGGGCCTAGGGACTGTCCCTCAGCTCTTCAGCTCAAGACAAATGCTTTACCTCTTGAGCCACAGTACCACTTGTGGCTTTTTCTGCTTGTGTGGGGCTGAGGAATCTAACCCAGGGCCTTATGCATGCAAGGCAAGTACTCTACCACTGAGCAATTTTCCCAGCCCCTAAAATTGTATTTTTTTTTTTTGGTCCGGTTGTGGGGCCTGAACTTTGGGCCTGGGCGCTGTCCCTCAGCTCTTCAGCTCAAGGCCAGCGCTCTACCACTTGAGCCACAGTGCCACTTCCCGCTTTTTTCTTTTTGCTTATATGGTGCTGAGGAATCGAACCCAGGGCCTCATGCATGCAAGGCAAGCGCTTTACCACTGAGCCATCTTCCCAGCTAAAATTGTATTTTTAAAAAGTAAGCCCGCTGTCCATGTAGACAGAGATTAAGGCCGGACTGGGGAGCCAGATGACTCTTTAGGAGCAAAGTGAAGTGTCTGTCGGGTAGAGACGCACATGAAGGGTGTGGCAGAGACTCTGGGCAAAGGAGTCACAGTGGTTTAACCTTCCTCACCACAGCTCAGGTAGAAATTTTATTAGAAAAATCCATTCATGGGTTCATGGGGTGTTACTGAATCATCAGGACAGTGGATCTGTTCTTTATTTTGAAGTCAGGGCCTTGTAGCTTGCTCTGCTGGTGCCGAGCCATTTCAGTCATACCATTCCCCCCTCCCCGCAACCCATTTTGCTTTAGTGATTTTTCTGGATAGGGTCTTGAGTTTTTTGTCTGAGGCTAACCTTGGACTGTACAGATCCTCCTATCTCTATCTCCTGCATAGCTGGGACATCCTCAGGGTCTCACTAACTTGAGGCTAGCCTCAAGCTGGGAACTTCTCAACTAGCTGGGATTACAAGCATAATAAGCCACTGTGCCTGCCAGATTAGTGCTGTAGGAAAAGCCAGTCTGACCAGGTCTCTTGCATGAGCCCTGTCACCATACAATGTCCTGTATGGCACTGCGTGACCCTGCAGGTCCTTGATAGCAAGAACACTGCCATTACATGAAGCCCCCTCTATCTCAGACCCCCTGGAATTCAGAGAACCTGGATAAAACTTTTATTCCAATGAAATCTGGTTGTGCTATGTACTTAACTTTCTATAATTCTTTATAATTCATTTTTAAGTCTCATTATTTACTTTTCAGGGTGTCTTTGACATTTGTTTTTCTGATTATAGAAATACTCTGAACTTGGGGAGGAATAAACCATTTTCTCTTTATAAAGTATCTACTAGCCTGTGGCATTTAGTTGTAGCAACAGAAAGCACAGCAAGGAGACATCTGCATATATCTTACAGGATGAGCACAGGTCCCTGGAAAAAGGGAGAGAGGGGAAAAAAGGAGAGAGAGGAGCAAGGGAGAGAGAGAAGGAGATCAAGAGCACCTCCCCAATCATGTTTGCAGGGAAGCACAAGCAGGGCAATGCCAATCAGAACACTAAGTCACCTTTGTGAGAAACTGCAGTTGAAACACACACTGTGCTCCTCCATGTCACTTGCAGTTCTAGCCAAACCTAATCCCTAAGGTCAAACACAGAGGTTCTGGAGAGGTAGGATGGGTGGAAGACCAGTGAATGGGGTGGAGGACCAGTGGGTATGCAGGACAGCAAAATGGGGACAGGGGACCTGGCTTCTCCTCGGAGAACTCAGATCTATGAACTCCTGGGGCTGCAAGTGACAGGTCAGAATGCAACACTCTGCACCTCTACAGATAGTGTGTGTGTGCGGTGCATGATGCCTGTGTATCAGGTGTCTAACCCTGCTTGTTCTAGGAAAGGCTGCCACCAGGAGCACTGGGCCTGCCTGAGCCCAGCCAGTCCCTCTGCCCTCTGTGAGGTCTGACTATAGCTTGGGGCCCACAGCTCCTTCTCAGCCAGTGTACCTCTGACCTGCTCACATCACCAGGAGCACATTCTCCAGCCCCCTTGTGCCAGTGACAGCAAGAACTTGTGATTCTAAAGGTCTCCTAATTCACAAATGCTGAACTTGTAGCATCCGGTGGTTCTGGAAGTCTCATGCTGGAAGGTGGCAGTGAAATGAGCCTTGGGGGTGAGGGTGGAGGCTCTAGGAGCATTCCAGGCCACTGAACACAGCGAGTGCAAGCTGCATTAAGTACGTACCAGCCCCTTCGTGCTCTCTCTCTCTCCTTCTCCCTCCCTATCCTTCCCTCCCTCCCCTCCCCCTCTCTCCCTCCTCTTTCAACAGAGTTGCCATCTCCAAGGGAAAGGTGATTCAATCATTTTCTCTGCCTGAAGTATGTGGGTGACTCCCTGTTGTTTTCAACATAGGATTTTAACAAGGCTTTTTTTTTCTTTTTGCTTATGTGGTGCTGAAGAATCGAACCCAGGGCCTCAGGCATGCAAGGCAAGCACTCTACCACTGAGCCAACTTCCCAGCCCTTCAACATGGGATTTTAAGCACACACACACACACACACACACACACACACACACACACACGAGACACTTTGTTCAAACCAACTCTTACATGCCCAAGACAAAAAACAGGTAAAATGGGTGACTTTTAATACTTGTTAATTAGGCTTAGATTGAAAACTATACCAGAAACAGCCTAGAACGGAAGCTTCCTGAGCCCAGCTTCCTGGAGGTCAAGGCCTGAGTAAATGTTCTGGTCTAGAGCCCTATGCTGGGGCTCCAGTTGGGGCCTTTGTCTTTGAACACCCAGCTGACCTTAGGACACACTCTGTAGGGCACAGGAGGACACTCACTCACTGCCCCGCCTGGAGATAGGCCTGGATCTGCCCGGCCTCCCGTGAGCAGTATCTTCCGTTCCAAGCCAGAACTCACCACTTTCCCCTCTCCCATGGCTGTGGAAGTCAGTTATCTTCCCAACTCAGCCAGGAGTGGCCTGCGGGGCATTTGGTGACTCTGCCTTCTGTCACTACTTAGCACCCAATGTTCACCACTGGTGTCACTGCCTCAGTGGGGCTGAGGACATATGGAGGATGGACAAGTCTTCCTTCTGCTTCCCACCATGCACCCTGGCATATATAGCTTCCTCAGAAATAAACAGAGGAGTGGATGCTAGTTGTGAATATGATTTGCTGCCTTTGGGGAGCTGGGGAAAATTAAGATTTTTTCATCAGTGCTATGAGAGCTGCTTCTCTAAATGGAAAGTGAATGGTCAACAAATTTCCTGGAAGCCGAGGCCTACATTTCGCCTCCATTGCTCAGCTCAAGCCTTGTAACACAAGAGAGTTGTTCCCAGCAGCACGGAGCAAGGACTGGGCCTGTGCTGGTCATGAAAAACTAGTCTTCTACCTCATCAGCACAGCCTGGAGCGGAAGGAAAGTTGGTTACAAATGGCACTGCCATGGACTATGAACCAACAAAAGAAATTCTGGGTTAGTGGAATGCAAATTTCATTCCACAGCAAACCCTTAGCGCACAGCTCTGGAAACAGTAGAGGGGCCTACAACTGTCTCAGTTCAGAAAACACTAGGCTGTTGCCCACATAGTTTGTTTTTACATTTGGTTTTTATATGTTATGTTTTTATGTGGTTTGATAAAATCTCATAGATTTTCCTGCTTGGGCTAGCTTGGAACTATGATCCTCAGATCTCAGCCTCTTGAGTAGTTAGGAAACAATCCCATCAAAACAGTAGAAAGCACATTTCATTGTCCTCCCTCTCCCTCCATCCCTGTCGCTCCTTACCCAGAATCACACCGTTGGGCTCCTCTGGGGGCTGCCACACAATCCGCACAGCTGTGAGCCTTACTTCGGGGAACACCAGCCTCACTGGGGGGCCTGGGGCTGAAGGGAAGCAGAGTGTTATAGGGTCCTGAGGCCAGCTTCATGCTGTGATCACTACTGAGAAGCCACTTGTGGGGGTGGATGTGCCTAAGGCTGCAATGAATGACTTTTGGAACCAAACTGTGTGGTCCTCTAATAATTTGGGGAAAGCAACTCATTTTGATTTTTTTTTGGGTGCTGGTAGTGAGGCTTGAACACTTGTCCTTTAGCTTTTTTACTCAAGGCTGGCATTCTATCACTTGAACCACAGATCTCCTTGTGGCTTCTTGGGGATTAATTAGAGATAAGAGTCTCAGACTTTCCTGCCTGGGCTAGCTTGGAACTGCGATCCTCAGATCTCAGCCTCTTAAGTAACTCTGATTACAGGTGTGGGCCACTGGGGCCTGGTAATACTTCATTCTGAATCCTGCGTGTTTACTTTCCAGATGTTGAAATCTTATATACTATGCTTGCCTGGCACTGGTGATGATAGTGCCCCACAAAGCTGGTATGAGGTTCACTAACTGTCTTTGCAGAGTGTCCACTATGCCGGAAGTCGAGATTTCATTAATGTGTGTTCAGATTCCACCTGCAGAGTGAGGACAGACAAGGTGGCTTCGAAGTTCCTTCTAACTTTAGATGGGGTTACAGCTCCTGATGAGCCACGTGTTGGTGCCTTTGCTTCCTATTCCTGCCATCCCTCTCCTGCTGTGTCCTAAGAAATTAAGAGCTGATATGCACACATGCATGTGATAATTCTCCTATATGCTTTGGTGCCCCAATAATTCAGACAGCAATAATGTCTCATAGAACCATGGAAGAATAGGGTTGAGGCCCTCCAGAAAGTTTATTTGCTTAAAATGAATAGGCAAGTTGGTACAAGACCTGTGTGAGAACTTTGGTGGGACTTAATCATGAATTGATTTGCAGGTAAGAGGCGATGGGCAAGGGGCGATCAATGAAGAAACAGAATGATGTGTGGAAGGGCCATTCTGGGAGGGCGAATTCTGCCTCTGGCTATGAACTTGAGAACAGTATTTTAAACTTTGCACATGTGTTATGACACCTCTGTTTGGTAAAATAAATGTTCTGTGGAGGCAGCAGGCTCCCAAGTCAGGACTAATTCACAAGTACGCATGCTCTGACATTGGTCTTACGTAGCAGTGATCTGTTGAGCCATCCCTAATGCTGGGCATTTGGATTGCCATAATGAGGAGCAGGGAAGGCATGTTTATATCAGGTTTGTGAGAGAAGGTGGAAAATTCCACAATGAACCACCATGTCCTTTAGGAAGAGCAATGATGCTGGACCTGGTGCCAAGGGACAGTTTCTAAAGTGCTCTTTCTAAGCCAGGCCACAGTGGCTCACATCTGTAATCACAGCTACTCAGGAGGCTGAGATTTGAGGACTGTGGTTCCAAGCTAGCCAAGGCAGGAAAGTCCATGAGAGTCTTATCTCCACTTAACCACCAAAATGCTGGAACTGGAGCTGTGGCTCAAGTGGTTAGAATGCTAGCTTTGAGCAGAAAAGATTCAGGCCCTGAATTCAAGTTCCAGTACTGACACCACTATCCCCTCCCTCATCTCCCCCCACTTAACCCTGGCACACACATTCTTTCTTTTTTATTTGAATATTAGGAGGACTTCATGCAGTTTGCAGTGAAAGTATAAGTACTTTGTGTTTCCCCTGTGGATCCCCATCTACCTGAACCCCTGTGTTGGGGAAGACAGAAGAAATATGTGTGGTACTCTGCTCTCCCAAGAGACCAAGCCCAGCTCAGGTATTCTCCAACAAAGGAGAGGTGGTTTCTTTCTGGGGAGTGGGGACTGCGTGTTTGGGGCTCATTGGTTCCTTCACAAAGATGCTTAGGCAAGCCTGCAGTTATCGCACTTATATTACATGGTCTGGCCCTCAGATGGGTGTTTTGGGGGCTCAGTCTTTTCCCCCTCTAACATATTCATTGCAGTCTGCTTAATAATGAAAATGTGAAGGAGCTAACCTTTAAGTGTTTGCCATCCACAAGGTGGAAAAACATATTTACTAATGATTTAGACTTCCATAAAAACAAAGATAGCAAGATGTGCTTGTTACTCAGTCTGGATATACAGGGGCCTGGGGACCCTGGGAGCCGTCAAACACACTGCTCCACACGTGGGAACGTGTAATTATCTCTTATAATGCAAACGGTGAGACTCGGCAGTCCCATGAGAAGCGGGCACATGGGGCCAGAGAGGATTTTTAACTGGATTTGTGCAGGTGCCATCCAGAGGAACAGCTCCCATTTTACAGCCTGGCCCCTCTCTTGCCAGCACTGCCCACGGCAGAGTTACGATTGGAATTCTGCATAGGTTCATAATCAGGCTGTAAAAATCCACTCCAGGCTGAAATTGGCCATATAAATGCTCAGTGACTGAAAAACAATTTTGTTTTGTTTCTCTCAACTGGAAAAAAAAAACCGGTTTGGAAAATTACATTACAAACGACCACAGTCCAAATTGTTTGGATTGGAAAAGCAAGCCTGGGAGGCAGTAAGGCCAACGTGGGGGGCACCAGCCATGCACATACCGTCATCTTTGGTGCGCTCGAGGATGAGGGGCAAGCTGGGGACCCCGTTCCCAATGCGGGTGAATGCCAGCACTTGGAGCTCATACAGCACGAATTTGCGCAGGCCAGCCAGCAGTGCAGACTGGGTGTGGTTCCCTCGTACCACGTGGCTCCGGGGCTCTTGGTCCAGGTCTTTGGCTCGGTACAGAATCTGAGGTATCAACACGCAAGCGCAGATGGTCATGCTACTGTGGGTTTAGGAAGTGGCCTTGGCAGGCCCTGGCTCACTACCATAAGGCCATTGCAGATTTCTCCATGTGGGGAAGCCGTGAAGGCTTTTGGATCTAACTTCTATGCACTGGCACTTGGGGAGAAAGAGGACCATGAAGCAATTGTCCTCCGGAATGGAAGCTTGTGTTCCTAACTCAGCCCACAGCTTAGCAAGCTGGAAGCCTGGCTGCCATTTGCACGAGCTGAAGCCCTCATCGCAGACATGGCAGCTTCATTCACCAGAGCAGAGTCCATCATGTGCACAGAGGCTTTTGCCTCCTTTGAGAGGAGCTTGCTTTCTCAGTCCCACAGATGCTGGGTTCTTGCCCTGGAACACCTGCTGTTCTCAAGAGGACCTGAGGCTCTACTCTCCTGTGCCACAAGCACGGCCATCTTTTTTTTTTTTTTTTTTCTGGTTGTGGGGCCTGAATTCTGAGCCTGGGCACTGTCCCTCAGCTCTTCAGCTCAAGGCTAGTGCTCTACCACTTGAGACACTTCCGGCTTTTTCTGCTTATGTGGTGCTAAGGAATCAAACCCAGGGCCTCATGCATGTAAGGCAAGCACTCTACCACTGAGCCACCTTCCCAGCCCCAAGCATGGTCATCTTAAGAGATGCTCTTCAAGCTTTTCCCCTTGTTCCTCAGCTCCAAAGTTCTAGCCAGCACAGCCTCTTGTGACTGCTCTCAAGACTATGGCTCCAAAGCAGTGCAGCAGAGCTCTGGGACCCAGGAATGGGGCATGGACCACTCAGTGGGACTGCCACATGTCACACATGTTACTGATTACCATGTATGATGGGACCCTGTCCTGTGTCACAGGATCGTCATGTATCATGGGATTACCATGTGTTAAGGAATTGCCACACATCACAAACTAGCATATCTCACCAGCCTGCCATGGGTCATGGATCCAGAAGGGTGCAGTTCAGATGTCCAGACAAGAGGGAAGATGTGTGAGGACAGGTGGGCGGGGGCAGGGTGGGAATAAGCTACACAATGGAGACAAGAGGAGTCCACACCCAGAGCCCACAATGCAGTGCATGAGAGAAGCACAGCCTTTCTGGTCACTCCAGGGAAGTTCATGGAGCCCTTTGATTCTCATGTCAACTCTGGGAAGTAGTTCCTGTCATTGTTTCCATTTCACAAGCGAGGAGCCGGAGGAAAGAGTCTGGTAACTGGCTGGAGAGGGCAGGGCCTGAGTGCGTTTCGCTTCACCGTGGGTCTGCCTCATTCCTAGACTGTGGTGAGCTCAGCTAAGGCAGCTACCGGATAGTCAGGAAACGGCCCTGTGTGGTCTGTCTGTGAGAGGAGTGGGCATGGGGTTTCCTAGCAGCTGGGTGAGCAGAGGAGGTGACAGTCACACATACCTTATAGCCCAGGATCAGCCCATTCTGGTCCTGCTCAGGGACGGAGCTCCATGTCAGCAGGATCTGGGTGGAGCTGACAGCCTGGGCAGATACATTGGCAGGGGCGGCCGAGGGAACTGCAAAGAACGCATTACACAATGGGCATCAGAACTCTACAGGCTTCTACAAATAAAGATCCAATTTCCATCCAAATCATCAAGTTGTCCTCGAGATAGCAACGCATTCTGAGTGTTCTGTAGGGATCAGATCAAACCTGCAGGCATGGAACAGATATGTAAATCTCTCTATATTAGCAACCAGTTCCATAAACCCTAGGTATTTAGAACTTAGATTTTACCTGAGTCCATTCAGCGAGAAAATAAGCTTGGTCTGCTTTCTGTAATGACTTGTGGAACTGCGGGCTTTCATCTCGAAGAGGAAACCCTCCCTTTCACAGCGATGCCAGCTTGCAGGCACCGTAACAGAAGGCGATGGGGACAGGCTGGCCATGCAGAGCGGGGGCAGTGGGGGGGCACAGAGAGAGGGAAAAGGAGGTCGTCTCACTTGGCACCCCAGATTCCTAAGGGAATTTCATTCTCACAGTGACCCTATAAGGCAGGGATCATTGACCCCTTTCTACAGATGAGCTCCAGAAGGTGGAGCAAATCACACTCCACCCTTTTGGCCCTCATGCTTGTAAGGATATTTTCCTACTTCTATGCAACTGTGGCACTGTCATGTAACCAACTGTCTCAAGAGCTGGACCAGGATGCCCATATAATGTATGGAAAGGCAACAGTAAAACCTTACAGACATGGGCTTTATATTCCAGATAATCTCAATTACTTCACTAATTTTCTTGTGGAGTATTTACCCTTGAAAGGCTGTTCAGATAGGAAAAGACAGACCTGGGCAAGTTCTAAGCTAGTGAGAGGGGATGCTTGGTTTGGAACTGCATCTGGGCAAAGTGGTCACACCATACCTTAGCACCCCTTCCATCAGGGTCACTTCAAGGTCACTCTATCTTTCATACAAGCTGTAGGGGATAGAGCTTGGGGATCAGGGTGACCCAGTTATGCCCCCTCTCCCCAACCTCAGGAATTTTCCCAGAGGGGAAATCATGGCTAGACTCTCAGGAGGGCTGTGCTCCCCAAGAAGGGCTGGTGCCCAGTCCAGAGGCCCTGGAGACCGGGTCTCTCCCCTTCCTTTTTTTAAAAAAATGTTTTTTATTGTAAAAATAGTGTACAGACGGGTTACAGTTAAATGAGTAAGGATCCCCTTCCTTTTTGTAGCTACAGAAAGGACCTCTCCTGTCTGCTTGGCTTTAGTGGGGCAGAGTTTGTCCATGAGCTAGGAGAGGTTAGCCCAGCCAGGATCAATCTCAGGGGCCCATCTTACATTGCAAAGGGAAGTCAGTCATCAGCCCAAACAGTGGATGAACTTTCTTCCCAAACATGTCAGTAAAGGGTCATTGCTGCAGTTATTCAGTCATTCAGTGGATGAACTGATATGTCATAGAGAAGGTCGATTTCTAGTTTTAAGTTTTACTCAGCTCTGGGAAGGGAAAGAGGCATGTCCCACAACCCCAGGCCCTAAATGTCTTCCAGCTACAGCATCCTGTGACTCACACTCCCCAGGCCTGGAGGAGCTCTCAGCAGGAAGCTAAAATGCCAACAAGACTATGGCTAGAAAATGGATTATACTTATGCATAGTTTATTGAAAGCAAAAAATGTATAACTAGTCTGTAGCCCTAGCTACTTGGGAAGCTGAGAGAAAAATCACATTTTGAGGCCAGGTCAGGCAGAAATGTTTGTGACATCCCATCTTGAAAGTAGCCAGCAAAAATACATACATATAGGGCTGGGATGTAGCTCAGTGGCAAAGCGCTTGCCTAGCAAGCGCAACGTCATGGGTTTGATCCCCAGTACCAAAAAAGAAAAGACAAAAAAAATACAGTTAAAAAAATACATACATATATACATATTTTAAAAACACACCCCAAACAGCTGGGCACTGGTGGCTCACACCTGCAAATACTAGCTATTCAGGAGGCTGAGATCTGAGGATCATGGTTTGAAGCCATCCCAGGCAGGAAAGCCCATGAGACTCTTCCCTCTAATTAATCAGCAAAAAGCTAGAACTGGGGCTATGGCTCAAGTGGTAAAGCAATAGCTGTGAGCAAAAAAGCTCAGGGGCAGTGCCCAGGCCCTGAGTTCAAGCTCTAAAACTAGCACAAGAAAAGAAATGTGAGCCTATATATTGATCAGATTTACTTTTCTGACTTTATTGAGAACAAGAAACCCCTAGGGTGCTATATGCCCTCAGCAGTAGTGCTGTATTCTAAAAACTCCGCCCTTGTCTGAAAAACACCAGGCCATCGTCATAGCAACCCAAATGGTCCATCTCTCAGACCATCACTCTTTCCTGCTTTGAAACTCAAGTGCCCAGTTTTCACTACAGACCTGCAAATCATCACTGATTTATTTCCTCAGATGGGCTCCTATGTGCATCCATTCACAGAGGACCATCTATGCTCCCAAGGAAGGAGGGCAGCCTGGTGACTTACAGCCCAGATGCTGTATTCTCAACATGGCTGAGTTTCTCACAAGGAGAGAGCTAGGAAGGGCTCTTAAAGATGAAGAAAATGGCAGAGTTCTGGATTAAAATTTCAGTGAATTCAAATACCACCAGGACAGACTCTGCCATCTGGTTACAAGGTATGGTTTTTAAGGACTGAAAAGGAAAAATCCTAGCCTCAAAAGTTGTGAGGCAGATTTGATTTCTAATCTGTCATCTTAAATTTTCAGACTTTCTCAGAAATTCCCCTTTCATACAAAACATTTAAAATGTTTATTTTAAGCTGGGCGCTGGTGGCTCACACCTGTAATCCTTGCTACTCAGGAGGCTGAGATTTGAGAATCACGATTCAAAGTCAGCCTGGACAGCACAGTCCATGAGACTTATCTCTAATTAACCACCAGAAAACCAGAAGTGGTGCTGTGGCTCAAGTGGTAGAGTGCTAGCCTTGAGCTGAAGAGGTGAGGGACAGTATTCAGGCCCAGAGTTCAAGCTCCATGACTGACAAAAAAAAAACCCACAAAAACTACAAAACTTTATTTTCTCCTTGTCCACCATGTTTTCCTTCCTCCAGGATTTCCTACTGTTGTTCCTCATGTGGTCTCTTGATTTTTATGGCCTCATTTATTTTTTATATTATATCATAGAATGTCACCTGTTAGACTGAATTCACTTCAAATCTACAAATTAATTTAATGTGATTCAGAATGTTCTGCCCTGTGTTTATAACCTTTTTTTTTAAATTGTGAAAATACTGTACAGAGGGGTTAAAATTACATGGGCAAGATAATGAGTACATTTCTTATCAAGCATTGTTGCCTCCTCCTTTGTTTCCCCTTCCCATCCCTTCCCATCTCCCCACCCCATCCCCTTCCCCCGCAAAGTTGTCAAGTTCATTTTTCGACATAACGATTTGTACTACAACCTTTTGTTTTTATAGAAAAAGTATTTCTGCAAACTATACTCTGTGTGTGTGTGTGTGTGTGTTTGTGTGTGTGTGTGTGTGTGTGCGCGCGCGCGCGCTGGTCCAGGGACTGAACCCAGAAAATTGTGCTTGAACTTTTTTCTCAGGCTGGCACTTGAACCACAGCTCTAATTCTGGCCTTTTGGTGGTTAACTGGAGATAATCTCACAGACATTCCTGCCTAGATTGGCTTTGAACCACAACCCTCAGATCTCAGCCTCTTGAGTAGCTGGGATTAGAGGCAGGAGCCACCAGTGCCCAGCTTCATTATGGTTTTGATATACATTTTGCTAATGGCTAATGATGTTGAGCATGTTTTCATGTGCTTGTTAGTTGTTTGTCTATCACATCTGGAGAAATGTTTATTCAGACTTTTGCCCAAGTTTTAATTAGACTATTTGTCTTTTCTTTGTGAATTGGAAAGCTTTATATATTCTAGATCCAAACATCTTATGAGGCATAGGATTTGAAAATATTTTCTTCCATTTGGGATTTTAAAAGTTTCCATTTTCTGTGTGATATTCTTTGACATATAGATGTTTTCATTCTGGTAAAGCCTGATTTATCTGTATTCCCCCGCTTTTGTTGTTTGTGCTTTCATTTCTGAGTGTCTCTGTAGAACCCCAACCTGGGGCAAGATTTGACCTTCTGCCTTCCCATCCTGTCTCAGCAGACACAGACAACCATCTGAGGGCAGGTGCTTCTGTTTCCTTACAGAGGAGCATGGGGATGAAGCCTCAAATCTCAACTCCTAAAAATCCAGATAGACCCAAGTGGTTCCCTCCCCCCACATCCCTTCCCCCGGCTCTGCCCAGCACTTATGACCTGTCATCTGGTTCCTTTTAGTCCTCTCCATCTAGAGACATCACCGTTTCCTTTCTGAGTACAATGCAGAGCTTGAAAGTTCAAGAAATACACTTTATCCACAATTTTCTAGATATAGCAAATGTTTCTACAAGCAATATTTTGTTGGTCAGACTATTTCTGGATTTGGAAACATCCCTTAATATCCATTTCTTTGTCACATAGATTTAGATAGTAAAGACAATAGAGCTTTTAAAAACCACAGAAGCGAGCAGACTTTATCTCAAAAGCTACCCAGCAGCTCTGCGGGTAGAGGTGGGAGGACTGCAGAATGAAGCCAGGCCTGGCAAAAAATGTGAGACCCTATCTGAAAAACAGACTAAAGCAAAAAGAGGCTGGAGATGTGGCTCAAGTGACAGAACATCTAAAGTGTGAGAGCCTGAGTTCAAACCCTAGTCCTGTAAAAACACCCCACTCAACCCCCAATTACAGTTGCCACCTGAGCCTCAGTGTGTCCTTGATCTGTTCTCTCTGAAAGCCGAAGCTGCAGCCCTAGAAAACCTAGTTTGGGAAAACCCTTCTCTGAATGCCAGTTCTCTCCAAAGCCCACAGGTTGTCACAATGGCCACTCCTCAAAGGCTTCCCTTGGTGGGTCCCTGACCATAGTTTTGTGTCTCCTGCTGCTGTTTAATTGTCCCCTAACCCCTCCTGGCCTGGAGAAGAGGAGGAAGAAATACAGTCATATCCCTTGTGAGGACATTGGCTCAGAGCCTGACTACAAGTGTACTGAGGTCAAGTTGAAATCTAAGCATATCCCACGTCACCCCATGGAAGACAGTCACCCACTGGACAGCGGCTCCCACCTCACGTGCACCAAGGGTGAGAAATCAAGAGTGTGTCAAGTGACTGACTGCTGGGGGTCTACTTGTAACTGCAGCAAGTCAGTGAACATACCACCTGCATTCTTTTCTCTATAGTGGTGGGCCATAGTGCCTTGGATGTTGGACTCCCTGGAGCATCTTTATACTCTTGATGATTTTCACCACATATAGTGGAAATTATCCCTAACCTGGAATGTTAAAATGAGAGTCCAGCCCCACTGAGAATTCACCATCAACTTCAAATGAGTGGCTTAGGACACAAATGAAGTTGCAGTTAAATGTTCATCAAAGGCTGGTCCTAACCTGTGGGCGGGGAGCTTGCCAAACCCAGTGACAAGTGGCACAAGCCAGCTAGCTGCCATAAACCTGGCATTTGGAGAGTCAGGGCCACGGGCTCCACCCCTGGATCAGCATTGACTTGTTCTCACCGGATTCCCGCGTCCGGCCCCGCACCAGCTCACTCCAGGGCCCAGCCCCGATGGCGTTGAAGGCTTGCATCTGTAGCTCGTACTCTGTCCACTCCTCTAGCTCCTCAATGGTGAGCTCCCTCTCCAGCCGGTCGTTGACAGTTTGGGCGAGTGCTGAAGATGGGAGGTCTGAGCGCCAGTACTTCACCCTATAGCCCACAGACTCAGGGTTCCCATTGTACTGGGAATCGGGCAGCGGCTGTCAAGATACAAGAGGCTATGGTGAGCTGACCTTAAACAGGCTGCTTTTCAAGGCCTGGAAAGGGCCAATTCTACTTAAACCACTTTCTTGGTTGGGGGATAGCTTTAGGACTTTCTATTATCCTCCCCCCTCCATGCCCCTTCTCCCTCCTCCTACCCCCCCTCCCGGCTCTGGGGAAACTTTTATTAATGAGACCAAACCTTGTCAGTAATTTAGCTGGACCTAATTTCTTTTAATCCATGTTGGCTTAATTTGGTGTGGGGGAAATATTCTGATCAAACATTGGACCGGCTCTCTTACAAATGCTGAGTATTAGTGTCATATTGACTGAGCTTAAGAGCTTACCAGTCCTGCAGGTAGCCCCAACCGTGTTCCCCCAGTTCTAAGAAAAGAGAGTAAGCACTAATGAAAAAGAAATCCTGGGCTGTCCTGAGATCCTGCACTGATTGTACAACGCACATTCCCGGGTTCCTTGAAGAGCCTTCTCTAGATGCTGCCTAAGAGCAACTCCCTACCAGCTCTACTCACCACCCAGCGCAGGCGCAGGCTGGTCTCGCTGGCTGTGCGCACGGTGATGCTGCTGGGTGCCACATCTGGCGGGGCCTGCAGGGTCTGGATGACGCGGGAGGACTGGCTGAAGGGGCTTGGACCAACAATGTTCACTTGTCGCATCCGAAATCTAGAGGGAAAATAGGTGACATGTGTCAGCCATGACTGGGTCTCCAGGGAAGGGCACAGGAGTGTGTCCCCCTGTACCACAGAGGCCATGGGAAAAAAATGCAGATTACAAACACAGCCCTTCTCCCAAAGACCTTTCAAAGATTGATCTCTTGCAAGTTCATGAGGCTAAATTCCCAAGGCAAGCAGAACAGGATGGGGAAAATAGGCAAAGATCTGTGCTACTCACTGTCACTGGCTGACTCCAGTTTAGGAACCCTAGTAAAGTAAGTTGAGGTAAATTAGATGAGTGTGTGTGTGTGTGTGTGTGTGTGTGTGTGTGTATGTGTGTGTTGGTACTAGGGCTTGAACTCAAGGCTTGGGTGCTAACCCTTAGCTTTTCTACTCAAGGATGGTACTCTACTACCTGAGCCACAGCTCCATTTCCCACTTTTTGGTGATTAATTGGAAATACGACTCTCAAGAACTTTCCTTCTAGGCTAACTTTGAACCGTGAGCCTCTGATTTCTGCCTCCTAAATCGCTATGATTACAGGTGTGAGCTACTGTGGCTGGCTTTAAGGGCTAGATATGCTTTTCTGTATCTTCATTATCTGTATGTATAATTATTCAAGACTGACTTACATATAATAAAAAAAACCCTAAGCATGGGTACACACATCTATTACAGAGGGTCCCCAAAATTATATGAATTCAAGATAGGGACTCTGACTCTTAATCACAGTTTCTGATCTTTGCAATAATTACACAGCTTCAGCTAATTTCACATGACAAGTCTTGAATCCCAGCGGCTCATTTTAAGCTAAATGTTTTTTTTTTCCTCTAAAAATGAGCGTATTGTGTCTTGAATCATCTGCTCTTAGCTTAGGAATGATGTTAACATGAGCAGACATTTAAACATCTCTCTCATTAGTTTTCTTTCATTTTTTAAAAATTCTAACTTTGGTATTGTACTGAACAAAAAAAAAGGCTCTTCACAAAGATGTAATTTCACCTTTCACTCCTTGAATTAGGAATTCATATCCTTTCATTCCCAAAGCTCACAAGTTGTATCTATCCAAGCAGAACAATGACACTATCAAACCCCACTTCTGGCAATAACTGGAAGTTCTGTCTCCCTCAAGGATCTTACGGGAAGTTAAAACATCACTAACAGCTCATGATGGCTCTACCCTTTGTGAAGGCCAAGGATTTACTGCTTGGAGAAGTTTCAGGAGCAAAAGGTGAAATTTAAATGGCGTGTTGAGAACTTGATTAGAGAGTGGCCACTCTGGGGTCCTGGGGGAGGAGAGAAAAGGGTCTCCCAGGACATCTGTTTTGCATGCAGCAATCTAACATTCCCCCAAAAAAGGCTGGTCCCAGCTGAGCTTTGCAGAGAAAAGTGCCACATCCTCACTGCTGGGCTATTATGCCAAATATACAAGCGAGCCCCTTCTACACAGTGGTTGGCTGGGCACAGCCAACCTGAACCTAATGTCTGGGAATGAGTTTCCCTGCAATCAGAAGGCACTGTGTGAGACCCCCACCACTGGTGGTTTATCAGCTGCAGCTCTCACCTGTAGTGAGTGTACGGTGTGAGGTTTGGGATCTCCAGCATCTGGGCGTCAGGCTCATTCTCCTCCTCGTAAAGGCTGATCCACTCCTCCTCATCACCAATGGCTCCGACCTATGGAACGGGATCTTGACATGAGATGGAGATGCCCTGGGGACTGTGGCTGTCAGGTATCCTATATGCACCTGGCTGTGTGTGGTGAGCCAAGCAGAGCTTCAGTAGGCCCCACATCCTGTACACACTGACTCCTGAATGTATCCTTCTCAGGCCTTTAAGATATAGGCTCTTGCTTTGTCCACCACTGGGTCTGGATGGGTTTTAGATCCAAGATCACAAGGAACTGAGCCCCAGAGGCCAAGGCTGATGGAAAGGACCATGCAGAGTTCTGTCCTTCCTCCTATGTGACAGGTCAGGACTCAGAGGTCCAGACTCTGGGCAGTGACACAGCCATGAGCCTAGATTCCTCTCTAGGGCCCAGAGCTGTTTCTATCACGTATCAAACTAGGGACTCAGTCTGTCCCCGGCCTGAGTACTGTTGGTATCAGGGATTGAACTCAGAGCTTTGAGATCTCACTCAGCCTTTTCTGACTGGAACTCCCCAATGTGAGCCATGCCTCCACTTTTGGACCACCTGACCTCCTCTGCCCTGAGCATGCTGCAGAGGCTGCACAGCTGGCCCAGCACAGGGAACGTGAAGCTTTTGCCCCTCCAAGCATGACTGCGTGCAAAGCTGTGTCCCCTCAAGGTTTTGGGGAACCACCTTGGGGCAGGGCAGGAAAGAGCATTCCTGCAGGGGAGCCTTTCCCACATCTGCTCTTGGGGCCACTTTGCCTTAGGCTTCGTGCTTCCCCCAGCCAAGTGTCCCCTTTCCCAGACCTGGGTCCTGCTCAGAGCTCCAGCCTTTCTATTTTCTTCCCTATCTGTGAGCTCCACATTCCTTGACCTGCTCAGGTGACATTTCTTCTTGAGGTGACTCCCCCTCGACCTCTCACTCTGCCTAACTGAACCCTGATTGTTTGATATAGTTTTTCTTTCTGCCCATACCCCTTCTTCCACCTCCTTGATGCCACATGAGACTGTTCCAGACAGAGAGCATGGGGGACATTGTAGCCTTGGGCCAGCCTGGGAACTCTAGGAGCTCCTCTACACTTCAGGAATAGGTTGGCCTCTGTGGCTGTGGGATCCTGGGGGTGCAGAGGACACATGCAGAGGGCATATCGTAAGCACAGGAGGTGTGCGGGGCCAAACAAGCTAGCCAAGCGGGAATCAGCCAGGGACCGGGCATTTAACACTTCCTAAGTGACTTAAGTGACAGAACAGGAATCGTGCTCATTAAGTTCACAGAGGAAAGCAAGTTGGCCGGTGGCCAAGTCGTGGAGGGTAGCCTGAGGATGCATGGTGACCTTGGTAAAACTGCAGGCTTGCACAGGAAGGACAAGGAGGACACAGTAAACACCCATGCGGGGAGGGGAGAATGGAGGAGGAGCTTTCCGAAGAAAGGGGAAAGCAAGGCACAGAGTTCCCTGTGCTTTAAATTAAAGGCTGGAAAATAACTGGAGGTTCTTCAGAAAAGTAAAGGCAAATGGTATCATGGGACCAGGTGTTTGCATTTCTGGCAGGACTAAGGAGACCCAAAGACAGAGACTGGCACACATCTGTCCATGTTTGTGTCTCCACAGCTGGCAATAAGGCATGTGTCCATTGACAAATGGATTAGCTGCAGTCTACCTGCACCCAGGAATATTACTCAGCTTTAATGAGGAATAGAGCACCAAGGCTTGCCATGAGGTGGATAAACCTCAGAAACTTTCTGTTGAGTGACAGAATCCAGGCTCAAGGCCCACATGTTCAAGATTACCCTTTATAAGCTACCTAGAACACACCATTCATGAAGATACAATGGTGGCTGCCAGGGTGGGACGGAGGGGGAGGGAAGGGGAGGAGGGAGGAGGGTAGAGAGAACAGGGAAAGACTGTGGTTTGATGGGAGGTGATCTTTTGGGGCAATGGAAATGTGTAGAATTAAGAAGAGGTGGTGTGATTGCCCAGTACTGCAAATCTACCAGCTGGAAACAGTCAGTTTTATGTTTTATGAATTGCATCTCAATGGAAATAGAAATGTTAAAATCAAAGGTAGGTTGCTGGCCAAAAACATCTGGTAGAGAAAGATCTGGAGGTCAAAGGAGAGGACAAGCACCTGGGATTCTGCAAAGCAGCAAGATAGCTGAACGGCGTGGTGGCATGAGGGAGATCGTTGTCCGCGAGGCTGGAGGAAGGGAGAGTGCCCTTGACCACCCAACCAGTTCCCAGCCTTATGGCAGCTTCAGTTCAGGCTCTGGCCCTCACTACCGGGGTTCTGCATGGAGGGACACTCGTGCTTTTTATTTCCTGGTGCCTCTGTTTGAGTGAGGGGAAAGCAGATAGATGTATGGCAAGTTTATCCTTAGCTTCAGTTACCTTTGCAAAGAAACTTTGTTGTCTGCCTGTCCCTCTAACCCCCAGGCCCTCCTGCACTGAAGGCTAGGTCCTGGGTGCCTGAGCTCTGAGTGCTCCTGGAGTCTGTCTGTCTGTCTGTCTCCCTAGCCAGCAACAATTTACCTAGCCCAGTGTGCTTCCCAGATCCTATGGACAGCCTACCCACTCACGTGACCAAGAGAAACAGAAGAGACCTGGCCAGACTTGGGACATGCTACTCAGGAGAGAGGAAGTGGCAAGACTGGATGTTGGAAGGACAAAGAGGGAGTGGGGTAGCTTGAGGCTGAGAAGCCCAGAGCCCACAATCAACAGCACCACTGCCAGGACAGAGGTCAGCAGCAAGCTGAATCTCCACTCCACCCTCCTTGCACAGGGCATGCGTGAAGGTCAAAGTCTTCCTCTTCCAGCTCACCTGTTGCCAGTGTCCCATAGATGGTTCCTGAATGGTCTACAGGAAAGGAAGTGGCCAGTTGATTGTGGGGCTTCTGTTCTGCCCAATGTAGTCCTGGGCCAGAACCAAATGGACTGGAAGAACAGAGACTGGCCTCCCTTTGTGTATGAGGTTGATTTGGACAGGGGCCAGGTGGGCACCACCTGGCTCTGCCTGGCTCCTCCTGCCACTTTCCCTACAGTCAGGCTTGCCATTACTCCAAGGCATCATGGGGTATCAAACACCTGCCCTCTTGTTCTGTCTTCTCTAGATGGGTCTGCTCCTCCTGCCTTCTCTAGGCACTGCCAGCACCTTCAGGAATCCTCTGTGGACAGTGTTCCCTCTTCCTCTTGCTCTCCCATGACAGCAGTCCCTGTGTCACCAGACTAGGCTATGGGAATGCAACCTCCTTGTCCTGTGCCTCAGAATATGTACTATCTCTGATATGGAGCTGATCATACCCATTAAAGCAGGCATTTGAAGTCTTGATTCCTATACATCCAGTGTGTTTCTAACAGTAATATTACTCATCAAGGGAGTCAACAGGATGGCAAGACTGCTTTGGAGAGAGGATGAGTCCAAGTACATAGAGGAAAGGAAAAATGTCCAAACAAGACAAAAGAAAGTTAGAACAGAAACAATAAGAGCAATGGAACTATAACCTTTGGCTTAGCAACTTTTAAGTAGCAACTAATATCACAATAGTTGGGCCAATCAATAAGCAGAGGTCAAACACAGATGGAGTATGGGCAACCTATTGAATAAGCCCAAATCTGCCTCCCTTCCTATTTGTGTCAATAAAGTTTTATTGAAACATAGCTGTGTTCATTGGTGTGTGTGTGTGTGTGTGTACTACCTCTGCTTTAGTCCACCTGTCAGGCTGCTATGTCTCCCATGCATGTGTGGGTATTTAGTCATTGTTGTCCAGGATTTCTTTCAGGTTCCAGCCTAAACTTGGTGTTTAACCCATGAACAAAAAAGCGAGTGACCATGTGAGTGACTTTAAAATTTAGCATAGGAAATTTAGATGTTTGGCATGAAGCTCCAAAAGTGAGTTATTACCAAAAATGTCATTTACCTATAGACCCTGGGGGAGAAATTTATATTCCTATGAAAAAAGGTTTTTAACTTTAAAGAGGTCAGGACCATTCAATCCTCGCTGGGATCCGCTGGCTTACTTGTTAGATTCCTAAGCCATTATGATAGCATGTTCTAGAAGTAACTGACCACTTACTAACAATGCACTGGATATATAGAGAGAGACAGACTCTTTTAGATAAAACAAATCTAAGCTCCCATGAGGAAGCTGTGATTTTGAAAGGTTTTCTTCCTCTTCTAAAGCCAGAAAATGGCACTTTGTAATACCCTTTTTTACAAATGCAGAGGCAAAATGCATTTCAAAGACCACTGGGCAGGGGTAAGTCCTTCACCCCATTAAAGGACACAGGGTCCCTCATTTCAGCCACAGGAGTGTTGTCCCAGCAACACAAAGGGGATGCCAAGGGGATGGAGGCTTATCTGCTCCCCGGTTAGGTCAGTCTTTTTGTGCTAGAACTTAGGGCCTGAGAACTGTCCCTTAGCTCTTGTCAGTCGTGAGGCCTGAAATCTGGGCCTGGGGTGCTGTCCCTCAGCTCTTCAGCTCAAGGCTAGCGCTCTACCACTTGAGCCACAGAACCACTTCTGGCTTTTTCTGCTCATGTGGTATTGAGGAATTGAACCTAGGGCCTCCTGCATGCAAGGCAAGCACTCTACTACTGAGCCACCTTCCCAGCCCTCCCTTAGCGCTTTTGCTCAAGTCTGGTGCTCTATCACTTGAGCCACAGTTCCACTTCTGGCTTTTTTGGTATTTAACTGGAGATAAGAGTCTCATAGATTTTTCCTGCCAGGGCTGGCCTTAAACTGCAATCCTCAGGTCTCCATTTCCTAAATAGCTAGGCTTATTGTCCCTGTCCTGTCAGGCCTGTCTTTGATACCAGCTGGCCAGACTCCCTTTAAGAACTGAGGAGTCCCACAGCCCACTCCTACAGCTAAGAACTGGAGTTGTGTGCACCAGGAAGGCAGCTTGGCTCAGCCAGGCCTCTAGGAAGTCTTGGGGGAGAACCCTGAATGCTCAATACCCCAGAGGCCAGGGGATAATCATCTAGTTTACCTGCCTGCTGATCCTGCAGATGGAGAGGAAGGGCACCCACTCCCTCTCCATGGGACGAGGG